CAATAATCAGAACCAGCCTATTCTTCTCTAGACAATTCGGGATAAACCATTAATGAAGAAAGGTGTCTCTGTGGCCAAGGACTACTCAGCAATCAGCCCAAGGACTCACCACATATAGGATGGGATAATTTCCGCCAGCTGTGCCTTTTCACACTACCTCCTGCCCCTCTCCCAAACACTCCTCCCCATGCAACAACTCCCTGATGCACTCGGAATGACAGAGGAAAGAAAATTATCGAACACCAATACAATAAAGCTGTCTGGTAACTTAATAGGCTGCTGAGTAGGGGCAGCGTGGCCATCTTGCTTTGAGGCGATAATGAGAGTCATCATTCCCTCTTGGGCTAAAAGAAAAGGGCCTGTGTGAGAGAAAATGCATTTATTTGGGTGCACATGCGCATGTTTGGCTTTGAGCCTTTTTGGTCTAGTGAGGCCCAGTGAACACACACCACCATGTTTTAACAAAGCCAGAGGGATTTTTTATTTTTTATTTTTTTTTTTTGCTGATTTCAGCTTAAAGGAAATCTGTGAGAAATTATGTTCATTAAATCAGGCTAATGTCCAAATAATGTTGCTCTAAGCTTTAGGGAGACACAAAACACATACTGTCCTATTTATTATTACAGGTCCCTTAACAGGTCATGTTTGTAGAGAGAAACATCCCAGGTTAATAAAACCCAACCAAAAAACAACAACATTAGAGTGGGGATGAAAAAAACACTGCAAAAAATTGAAATCTCAATAAGTTATTTTTTCTCTAAATTATTTTATTGAGGAGGTTAGTGAGACATGTTACCATTGGAACAAGACAATTTACTTTTAAAATAAGAAAGCAGCAATTGCATTGTCTTATTTCAAGTGCATATTATCTAATGATCTTATTTTAAGTTGAAAAATAGATATCTACCTGCTCAAATTAAGGCTAAATACACTTAATTTAAGAAATTTTACTTATTTCCAGATCATTTTTGCAATGAAGATTTACCAGTATTACTGAAATAATAAAAGATGCTTTGATACGTTGATTGTGACAAGGTTCTTTTTTTCCCCCAAACTGTATGAGTAAGATCATATTGCTTTTAATTAAAATGTTCACTTGCTAGCCTTGGTGAGTGACAAAATTCTAAAACTCTATGTAATAATTAAAACAGCTTAGGATATACTGATGTGTTGACTGTGCTGATAACAGCTATCAGAGTAAAATCACTATGTGATGCAGTGGTGTGCATGGTGGTATCAAGGGAATCTGGGTTACAGGGACTGCTTTGTTTTTACACCATTGCCTCGTTAGCTTTTCCCCATTTGCTGATAGTGGACCCAGAGGGACACAACCAGCATTAAATATTTAATGAAAAGAAAACTAAGGATTCAGTGTTTGTGAATATTACTGCTCCATGAAAGATAAATATATGCAAATTTTGTTTTTTTACTTGTATATTTTGTATATTTGAGAAATCTAGGTTTAAAATGAGTTTAATGTTTTCATAGATTGATAACAGAATTAAATTTGTTTAAATATTTTACATATTTTCTTTAATAAACAAAAGATGGCATAATTTGTACTGAAAATGTATAATAGGAAGGTCATCATTAGCTTTATAATTACATGAAGTTTAGAAAGTCTTTTCAGATAGGCATTCATGGAAATGTGTCCTCATTCAAACATGAAAACAAAGCTGTTTTGCAAACCACAAGCGGTAATACTGAGTAACCAATAAGCACAAAACAGTAATTTAATCTTTTTTCAATCTTTTTACACTCTGCTCTGATTTATGTCATTAATTTCTAGATGAGCAAAATAAAAATGTTTAATGTTTTAGAATGTTATGTTTTTTTTTTCTAGAAACAAAGGTTGAATAAAAAATTTCAGTGTTTTCTTTTAACTGTTTGTCTAACAGTTTTTCTTTCTTGTAAGATACATGCACATTGTTAAATCACTGCTATCTACAGTTACAGTTCAGCTCAAAATGCATTGAGCAGGTTTAGGCTTAGAGTCATCTCATGATTTTGCCATGTTACTTTTAACTAGTGGTAACATTAAAGTGTCTGAGTCCAACTTTGCAGGTGATAAAACAATCTTTGGAAAGAGCTAAAGAGTGGTGACAAGAAAGGTATTTCAAGATAAAGTATAAAAGCTAAGCTATGGGTAAATCTACTAAATGCCTACAGAAACATGCAAGATGCTGGTTAGCAATTTTATGGCTCTTTCACACCTTGACGATTTAGCCAGGGTATTCCTGACGCCCCTGAATCTCTCATAACGCTGGCATGAACTGAAATTTCTATGTATTTTTTTCAATTTTGGGCGTATTCATAACGACTGCAGAACTTATGTCCGACGAAAGCCTAAATCATGCATAACGCATGGCAGCGTAATGCTCAGGAAATGATGCACAAGCCAGTGTCCTGGGGGGGCTTTTTGGACCATATACCATTATACAGTAGCTGTAAGTTAGAAACACATTCAGTGGTTGTCTGAAACACATCAAATATACGTGCATATGTCGAAATGCTTTGGATATAAGTTCTTGATAAGTTACGGATAAGTTATGCACATCATACAGTAGCAACCATTCAAAATGGCCCTTCTCAGTCAAACGCCAGCCGAATGGCAGCCCACTTCCCTCAAACTCTCAGCAAAATCCCCTCCAACTCCCAGCCACTGAGTGACCCCCTCTTGCATATTTTTTACTCTGACTCCACGCTTTTAGTGAATTACATAGTCTGACCAGGAGATGACGCCTTCCTTTAGTTCTCAATGTCCACAAATCATGACAGAAAGAATATTTTAGTACAAAGATTGATGTTTAAAAAGAATTTGTAGGGGACCAGCCAAGGAAATTGTGAAATGTTGAAGGACAAATACTGTAGGTTTTGGATAAGCTAGATATCATGACTTATGAGTAACTTAGACTTAAAGCTACAGTGTGTAATTTTCAGGGACATCTAACGTCCAGACTGCAGACCGCAGCAACATGAACATCTCCCCCC